ACTGTTCCTTTAAATGAAAGGATCACCAGGCAGTTATCTCCATCAGATTTTATTATGTGACATAGGATGAACAATTACATACTGTGCAATAAGCTAAGTGAGGTTTTAATCGCTGCTGCATTTATGGATGGCTTATCCTGACCTTTCATAGCCTTAGAAACCAATAACTGAAGCAAAACAAAGTTTGCCAGCTCCTCTCAGAAATGAGTCATGTGAGCATAATCAAATCCCAGGCATTACTAAAGCCTGGATTCCTGGGCTGATGAGGAACTGAGAGACTTTCCATGTCAGATGGGGCTGAGCAAGCCATATCTTTTCTTTCTGACCAAATTTGAACAAAGGATACAGAGTTTATGGTTAAGGCCAAATCATCACCTGAAGTAAATTACACCGAATTTGGAGCTTTCATTTTCTGCATATTTCTTTTATAAAACAATAGTATGATATCTTTAATAAAGCATACTTATTCTAAGAGACATGATGTATCTAAGAATAGTTATGCAGAAATTATGCTAGATAAATATCATACTGAAAAGGGAGAGCCCTGTCTAAGAGAGGTACCAATTCTGTGGAAAGATTCTCTTACGTATAAAGATTTGTTGAAATCCACATGTAGCTCAGTAGCAGAGCTGTGAACAAAGCCTTCAGTCTCACCTTTTCTCTCTCCTTATTCTACCACCATGGCTTTCAGGAGAGGCGAATGGGATGACAAGGAATGAGAAATGGTATTTAACACAGTTTTCACCTTTTTGTTGCTGAAGCCCCACAGCTCTCATTAGGACTCTAATCCAGAATTTTCTCCTTTCCAGAAAACTTGAAATAAGAGTTGTCTCCCCTTCATGAGTCTTTTGCATGCCACTGATTGATTGACTTCCATGCTTCTGGCAATCAAGTGATGTCTTTCAACCTTAATGCATTCAGGAGGCAACCACTTGAAGTAAAAGGTTTGAAGAACCACTACCATGAAGTTAACTTTAATGATAATTCCTTTTCACTGTAGCCCTGTTTGTACACACAGGAATGCAAAGCTGCTCAATTTCATTTTATTTCAGACACAAAGGAACTAACATACTGTGACTCTCTTTTTTTTTTCCGAAAGGGAAGGCACACTTACAAAGTCTGCCTGCAGCAAACCTTGTCTACCTGTGGTCTGCTTCAGAAGAGTGGCTTTTCAAGGTTTCTCACAGGCTGCCTCAATCCAGACTTGGTGACAGAACTGCCTACAGCAATATTTAGCCATTTTATTTGCCACCCTCAGCTGCAAATGCAAAGGAGCAGACACGCCTCAGATAAAACTCACCGCAAACATTCAGAGAAGGCAATCACTCTGATCTGACCCACAAAAGAGAGAGAAACTGCACATATCCGATGAATTTGCAGGCATCCAGGCATTGCTCCTCACAGCTGCACAGCTGTCCTTCACACATGAAAGAAACAGGTCCGGCTATCAAACATCTCTTTCAGCTTTTCCTTCTGTACAGCTCTGTTCAGGTTTCTCCAAACCACAGCCCCGCACAGCATTGCAGCTGCCTGCCCCAGATCCTCAGCAGCTGTAACCCAACCTGGCTCCATGGATTTCAAATGCCTTTTCCACCCACTGGAAAACCCATCGGCAAGTTGAAAGTACTTCCCTCTCCTCCCTCCCCGCCTACCACACAAACGCACACAGACACATCCACATACATGGTGAATGGAATGAGTCCAAAACGTTTTTCTCAACTCTGGTAGCAATATCATTTTTTTTTCCTCCAAACTAGCTTGGAAGGAAAACTTTGAAAGCTTTCCAAAGCAAATGTTCCTGGGGCAAGAGGGATGAGTGTAAAGAATAGCTAGAGCTTAGTTTTGCAAGAACTTCTAACATGGAGACCTGAGGCAAACATCCATTTCTCCTTTTCTTTCCCTCCTGCAACAAATCTGTATTGTACACACCAGTGCATCCTTCTGTCAGACATTCCTCATTGCTGCCAGGTCAGTGAGGATGTGGCAGCTTCTGCCAGGGAAGTGGAAATTTGCTGGTCTTACATTGTTGATAATTACTGACCCACAGTGAGCTGGAGGAAGACACCCATTTTCCTTAACTCGTGGTTTTCTGATGAACAGCTGGGACAGGCAAAAGAAGCATCTCCCCCATGGGTATATGTGTGTGAAAACTGCTGGGAAAACCAGACAGAAATGTTCCTATCTTGGAGTAATTAGGATAAAAACATAAAAGTGGAGAGATGAAGAAGGTGAAATCTTTGGCCCCTGTTCTGTCCTTTTGTTGGGCTTTGTAGTGGTCAAACCCATGAGCTTCTGATTTTCAGAATTGTACAATGGTAGCCCTCTCAGATGAGAAAGGATCCTTAAAGTGGGAATGATTGCATGATAGGATGGGGAGAAAAGGGGTCAAAAGATAACAAATCCTTCTGTTTTGATTTGCTAAACAGAAAATAATCAGCAGTGTGGGATTTGATGAAGGCAGGTTGGCTAGCCCTACCTTTGCTCTGGAAATAGTGCAGCTTTCCAGCAGAGGAATTGCAGCTGGGTTCACTGAGGTGAACACGCAACACAGAGTTCAGGGTGAGACCTTGAACTTTGGTCACTCCATCATCTACTGCAAATTCAGAGCAGTGAATTCTGAGTAGTGAGTTCTGTGTAACTCCCTAATCACCACCCAGGGCACAAATAGAGACATTTTCTGCGTTTATATGGCTCTGGGGCCAGGATGATCCCATGTTGACACATGTAAAATATTCAACAGATGGAGTCTCTCAGTGCTTTTGCAATACAAACCACCATAAGACTATTAATGAGGCACTATCTTTTAAATTAATCTCTGCAGCATAAAGTTGGCGGTGATGGGCTATTAATACATTTCAGATAACCATATTATCTGAGCATCTTCTGGGCAAATCAAACTCATGCAAAGTTTTTAGCTGATTTCATCATCCTGTTGCTTCTTTTCCTTCTGCAACACTTACGCACTTCTTGGCATATAGGCTGCTTTTCTTGCAAAAAATTTGTTGCAGTCAATTTTTTTAAATTGCTTTTCCAATTGGATTTGAAAGATGAAAGTCTGATGGAGGAAAAAAAGCTCATTTGAGTAGATACAGTTGTGGCTAGGCACTAATAATCCCCAAAGACACTTAGATGACTCTTAAATTCATAGATAGGATTTGGATGATGTTTACTTTTTAATTTCTAGATTTATAATGCTCTTCACACAGTGAATAAATGCATCAATACTTGTGGAAGATGATGTCCTGTTGGAAGCTCTGGCCATCTGCAGGGCTGGCTTTATCCATGACTGATTCCTTTCCTTTGTAAGCAACCCTGGGATTTCCAGATTCACCAAGTTGTCATCTTTCGTTTAAGCATACAACAAATTTGTAACATACTATAGGCTGACTTTATTAGATTAATTAAAGAAACCTATTAATTTCCAAGTAAATGAAAAATATTTTTAATCATTGCCTGTGAACCACTTAGCACATTAACTTGTCCCTCTGAAATCATTTACTTAAGTGTGGCCTCAGTTTGCTTAATCCATAACTGGTCAATAGTATATTAATATTACAGTCTCATTTCGGATCTAAGTATGTCTGAGCCTATTAAACTGTCACCCTGGATTTACTTGCAGGGAAAAATTATCTGTATTCAGAGATAGAGGGAGAAAAGTATTAAAGTGAATCAAGCACTAATGAAATTAATCATAATCATCGTAAGTACTTTCAACTGCTGTCACCCAGAGGGAGATGCTACTGCAGGAAAATTCTTACAGCTCTATTGTTTTTATGGCTGGGCTCTGAGCTCTCTCAGCTTTTGCTTGTTCCAAAGAGACTGATAACACTCTGATGATCATTTAGAATTATTCCTATTTTTTTTAACTAAGAATCAACCTTAGAGGCAACCTTGAAATACAAGCCACTTCATGGAAATCTTGTTTTAGCAAACTAGTTTAATGTAGGTCAGACCTATCATAGTTAGCGTTATAATTCATTCAAACTGTGAGACTCCATCTCTTGCTGTTTGCTTTATCTGCACTGCTTGTGAACCTAATGTGTGTAATTTACAGGTCCGAGACAATAGGAAAGAGCAAATCAGGAGAAAAATTATCTATGTCCCTGCAGTGCAAGATACATAGATATGTAACACAATAGAGCTAGATATTTAGATATATAGAGCCAGATCCTGAGCTGTGTAAATCAGAATAGGCACATGGTGCATTAAACCAAATAAAACTATGCAGTTTTATATCAGTGATGTAACATCATCCCTTGCAGCACCCCTCTTACTGCATGCAAATATTTTATAATCCTTTAATAATACTTGAATTCAAAAATGTCTTTTTTTCCCTTCCAATTGCTGTAGTGACAAGACACTAATCTGTGTCTTGTTTAATACTATGAAACTTTTGAAGGGCTCCCCCACATATCTTCTTTGAATTCTTCAGTTGTCTACAAACTCCAGTGTTGTATGGATTAAACCTCTGATGAAGAGGAACATGACAATGGAAAAGACAAAAAATAGCAGCAGATCAAAAGAAGTTGTCTCTAAAAACAAATTCAGCGCTATCCACAACTAAGTAACATTTGACACTTAAAAAATATTTGATCAGTGTTTTGGCTTACAGAACTGCTTTAGGGGCACTGTGATGTGTAAATTAAATTCAAATGAAAGTTAAATATAGTTCTCTGAGAAAGACTGCACAGTTTAAATTACCTAATTATTTGGACAAAATCTGTTCTCCTGTAATTAAATGTATACAAAAGAATGTGTCTTTTTACTGAGTACATTTGGAGAGGAGATGTTTATCAGCAAATGGTAACTTCCTCTTGAAGATCATAAAGATACTGTCATCACTCTGAGCTGTGTAGGGAGGAAGGTTAGTTCATGCATTTGTCAGAGCTCAGCTGAGGTCGAATGAAGTGAGGCAGAGCATTCCTGTATTTTGCTGTATGCAGCCTCCAAGTCCTGATCCTGCAAAGCTTTTTAATACTTGCTTTAACTTTTTTGTCTAGAGTTCACGCCTGTGCAGGAAGGGATACAGCCAGCCAATGTGCCCAGGCAGTGCTCTGGCCATGAAAAGAGCTGATAATTCATCAAATCCATATCTGCTGTGATGCCCAGGACTGGATTTCTGCCTTGCATCCAGCTCAGACCCTCTAACTCTGCAAGTGTTCCCAGGCTTTGGAAAAGTGACTGCTGGAGTGAGTTACAGCCCATGTGAGTAAAGGGGTGAGAGTCTGGATCACTGAGGTTTGTTTAGTCTATTTTTAAATGTGTTGAGTGAGGGGATTTTGCCATCTTTCTGTGGGAGACTCCTCCTGAGCCTAGCAGATGTCAACAGCAGGATATCTTTTGCATGATACTGGATATGAACTTTCTCTTCACCTTGTCCATCCCCTCCTTTTTTTTCTTTTTTTTTTTTTTTAATTTGTGTACACCTATCAATATTTACACTCTGTAATATTTGTATTTCTTTCTCCAGAGCCATTGCTCAGTCCCACAAACTCTAGCTCTTTCATTCTATTTTTGTTGTCAGTCCATCTGCCTCCTTTCTGCTTTGGGAAGTCACTCTTCTCACCCTTTTCTTCCTCCCCCCACTTTGCCAATTCTGTTCGAATCTGTTGTGTGTGGCTGACAGACAGAAATGTCAGCCTTGCTTAGGGCTCAGAGCTCTGTGCCATCAATTTAATGCTGCAGTACAGGTACAATACACTTGGATTGTTCAATTACTGCTCATGAACCAAAATCTCTGTCTCCAAAGGGCTGGAAATTAAGTCTGCACAGTATGCCTAAGCCTCACAATGCCATTCCCTGCAGTAAAGATGTGATATGGAATAGAACCCTGGAAAAGAAAATAATAAGCAAGCTTATATTGCTTAAAATTCTGATTTTTCCAATATGTACCTGGAATTATGCAAATTTTCTGTGGTTTCCTAGGCTGGAAAAGTAGCATTGCTCTGCATCTGGTCCCCAGTTGTAATATCTGTCATAATTATATTAGGGAAGAAATTGCATGCTCATTAGGAAAAGCACACTGGTGCACAAAACTTTTGTCTGGGGGGCCCAGAGCATCTGAACTGCATGTGGGAAGAATGTTTGGATTTCACATGTGACAAGAAGGGATTTTTCAAAGTGAGTGGGAAATTAAAGGCAGCTCAGGAAACTTTCCTACAAGTCATTGTACAATCTACTCTTTTCATTCACATTCATTCTGCAGAACTTAAAGCATGAGCTTACTTAAAGAAAGAGGAGAAGGAGAAGAAAAAAAAAGGATTTATTGCTAATAGTCATAAAAGGAAACCATAAATCTACCAGGGCCCTGTAGTGAGCTTAATAGTGAGTTAGAACAAATGCAATCAATATGAATGTATTCATTTATTCTCTCTCAGCCATAATCAATATGCATGGTATCTCAATGTTGAATAGGAAGGCACAGCTTTTGCCCCAGTGAGTTTAAAATAATTCAACGAAACTCCTGCTGAGTTTTGATTGAATAATAAGTTTGGCTCTAGCTAGAGAAAAATGTGCAGACAGGCAATATGCTGGCAAGGAGCAAAACTGGGAGCCAGCATTTTCTAGGAAAGGGTTGGGTTCAGGAAGGCAGGGGAAGAACAGAGAGGTAAGGGGTGACTTTGAGCAAGAAAGACAGAACTGCTGCAGTTATTTCTCCGGGTAGTGGAATAGGTCCCTTTTGAAGAACAGAAGGGAAGCTGGCCCCAACCTTGGTGCAGCATATTCCCATTATTCATTTACTGTGTCATTCTTAATTGTCTCCATAGCTCCTGTCCCACGGCCACATGTGCCCAGAGGGCATAAAGCAGCACCACCAGAGCTGCCAAAGCAGAGAAGGAGGAGACACAGACCCCATGGAAATCTGGAAGTGGACTGGCTCCCAGCCTCACACCCCAGGCAAATATGTTTTTTACAGAGGAGGCACAGACGTGGCAGAGGAGGCCTCCACTTTGCTTCCTGACACTAAGGCTGCTGAGCAAGCAGCCTGTTGCATTCTCCTCTGACTTTAATTTGCAAATTGCCTTAAAGCATTACAGAAAACAGCATGGGAATTTCTCTTTAATGACTGTAACAAAGGTTGGGCTGTCTGTGTAAAGCCTGCAATGTAATCGCTGAACAACCAAGGAGTACACAAGGTGCCATGTAGGAACAAAGAGGCCACCCTGAGCAGAGAGAAGCATTCATTCACTGAACAAAGCCCCTGCAGTGTCATTTCTGGACATTGAGCTTATCTGGGCACAATTAAAAATCCAAACAAATAAATAGAACTGTTTCACATGCTCTTGGATTTACCTGCCAGAGCAGTGGCTGTGCTCTTTAATCACCCAAACAGACAGCCTGGAAAGAGTTCAAAGTGCAGTTATGTGTCTGGCTTCCACTGAAATTCAGGGGTGCTGGCCATTTAGCTACTCGCTGTGCTGAAGGTCCACCCACAAGCATGCCAAACATTGCTCCTCCATGGCCTCTCTCTTTTCCTGGGGAGAACATGAAAAATGCCTCTTGATGAGCTCTCCAGAACTAATACACTGCTTACCTATTCACTTTCCAGGCTGGTGATATTATAGTTATTATGATGTGTCCTGTCACACCTTCAGTTTGTTAGACTCCTAATGAGAAGACCTAATTCCTTTCCTGACTCTTTGGGAGGCTTGGCCAGTGGTGCTGTGTAAATTAAGAAGATGGTTATTACTATGATCATGATTATGTTTCATTAGTAATAACAATGAACTCTGGTCAGGTCTGGCATATATACAGGAAATGAGGGAAAATACCTACTTAAAAAGAAGGTTAAAGAAACTGTGCTTTTAATCAAATGAGAGGAGAGATTTGCATGTGAAACAGAAGATGATGAGCTTGGCAAAAAAATCCTTACTATGACTAACTCCAATTTAAAAATTACTTAATTTTGCTACGCATTTTTAGCACAAGGAACAGTGTCTTCCTGCAAGCATGCAGGCAAGGTCAGAATTCCTCACGGAAATACTTGGAGGAAGGGAAGGGTGAGCACATAAATTGGGTGATTCATGTTCCAGTGAAAACTCCACTCCCCTGAGTGAGAGGAGGGTTCAAGGAGAGAGCTCCTTTCCTGTGCCAGAGAGGCCAGTGACTAAGGAAGCAAGGAGAAGACCAGGCAAGTTAAGGATGGTCTTTTCCTACTGCAACCTCCCAGCTCTTGGCAGTCAGTAGGTTTTTGGCTCCCTGAAGAGGCACAGATGGCACCTGAACACAATAGTGCTGATGATCCCATGAAAGGATGTGTCCCACCTTTCTGACTGCTCGTGAGCTGTGCTGTACCAGAGCATCTGGGCCAGATGCAAATGCATTTCAGACAGCACAGTGCAGGGGGAAAGGGTGGTGCAAGTCCCCTGCCAGGCACAGTTAGGTCATGTTTAACTGGTGATAGTGAGTCAGTTATCTCCTCACAAGAGATGTTCAGGCAACAGCTATTTAAAACCTGATAAAACAAATACTTTCAAACAGCAATTTGCTCCCAGCAACTTGCTTTCAAAGCAAGAGGTGATGCTTTTCTTCAAGGAGTGATTCCTTGCAGCCCATGGACCAAGACTTAAGCCAAAAAAATCCTGTTTATGCCACAGGAAACCCTTTAGCAGCTGCAAGGGGCTGTCTGTAAAGCCCTTTCCAAACAACAAGCTATGAAAATCAATGCTTATCAAAGATCAAGACAGACGCTATCCCATCCCTTCAAATTTCCAGCACAGCGACAAGAAGTGAGTCTGAGAAGTGCTGCTGTGTCCCACTTAAACACGGATGGAGAAACCGAGCACAACAAACATGCCAAAACATCCATGGATTGTATCTGTTTATTGTTTTCCATTCTGACATTCAGTAAAAACTCTCATCGTGATCCATCTATGCCCCAAAAATGGTCTGACTTATTATTCCAGAGAAAACCAGGAAACTCATCTCCCTTTAGAAGACACAAGGTGGTATCTCTGCTGCACCTCAACATAAACCTAAAAAACCCCACATATGATGTCCTGTACTAGAAGGTAATTTTTTACAAAAATTTGCAATATCTGATACATCTCCAACATTCTTGTTTGCTCACAGTCTGTTCACAGGATACCTCAGATAACTGAACAGAGAAATAGCTCTGGTTCATCTCATCTGCAAAGACTTGGAGGAAAATCAGGGGAAGTGGAGGAATAGGAAGATAAAATTTACAAGGAGTAGCAAGAACAGCATAGGAATTTTTTAAATTATTCAGGCAAATAAAAACATAAAAGAAACACTGGATGTAGTTTCTTATTTTTACAACTGGCTATAGCTTTAACCTTAGAAATTCAGAGCTTGTACAATGGCATCTGCACAAACAGCTGTAGTTCCCTTGTGTAAAACACACTGGATACAGCAGTGAATTTGCTTGAACTTGCTTTCAGAGTCAGCATGGTCTAACAAAGGAATGGTTAATGATTTCTGCTAAATAATAGAAAGCATCAGACACACAGCAATGCAGAATGCTCCTTACTCTCCCTTTGTCCAGGCACACACCTTAAACCTTGCACAATCTAGAATCTAATTTGGGAGACAGGGTGGTTTGGGGACTATATGGGAGTGGCAGTGAAGAAAAAATTTCATTTTCTTTGCCTGACTATGGAGTAGACTGCATGGATTACCTTTTTATTTACATTTACTCTTCTGTGAGTGTTTGTGTTCAAAAAGCCTAATATGCCCTATACCAAAAGATTGCATGTAATTGGCTTCATGCACATCAACTTGAAAATCTGGGAGGGATCCCAGTGTACTAAATTTAATAGTTTGTATATAGGGTAGCACCCAATAAAAGTCCCAAAACCCCAGCAGTAAAGTTGTACATTATAGAATTTCTGTGTTGTTTGTATTTTTCTTTTGTTTTGTTTCTTTGTTGGTTTTTTACTCTTGGGGCTTTTTTTGGTGTTTTGGGTTTTTGTTTTGTTTGGGTGGGTTTCTTTTTAGTGCAGAGAAAAGGTAGAACATTTCTGTACTTGATTAAGACCTGTTAGTGGAGATTTATTGCCAAGGGTTGCATTGTGTATTTGGTATTAACCTCTTAGATCACAGCAAGCAGCTTTTGAAGTTGTCTGGGGACTGGAGAAAAGTTCATCATCAGGGGACACCCCACCTGCCTCCATCCGAGGGAGGCTGAGGGCAGAGGGGGCACAGGGAAGGTCACTGTTCTGCCTGCCACACCATGCAGTAAATATTAACTGGAGATGATTTCTGAATACAAAGAGCTCTTACAAGCCTTACAGCTTGTATGTATCTTGTCAAATAACTAAAGAAATGCAGGGTTAGAAAGAACAGCTCTGCCAGACGAAATCTCATCTGTTCCATTCCTAGCTGCATTGCAAAGAAATGAAGTGATTTAAGGGCTTTATCTGATTTATCTTAGTTTTCCCTCCCCTTCTGGTTCCCAGTAGCCCTGTTCCTGAAAGCATGCTGCCAGGTCCCCCACCAGAAACAATTGTTTTTTCTCCCTGCTGGCATCACTGCTTTCCCGGAGGGAGTGCAGGGTGGTGCCCCCTCTGCCAGGAGGGGACAGCAGAGCAGCTCCTCCAGTCTCACCTGCCAGGTGAAAGGAGCCTTGCACACTCTTCCCCACAGGGCAAAACTTGGCTGCTGCAGCTGGACCTGAAAGAGAAAATAAAGCTTCTGGGGTTTCTATTTCCCTGATTTAATTTCCCTATTAAAACAAAAAGAGAAAGAAAAAAGAGAAATGTGTTCAGTAAAAGAGGTTGGAATCAGACCATGGACTTCATACCAGAGCACAGTCTTTCCAAATAGACCTGCAATTTATTTCTACCATTATTAGGTTAAGGGCAAACTGACAAAATTCACATTTTACTGCAGTTTCAGTAATGAACGTGGTGGAAAATGGGGTTTAATTGGCAGCTCTTCTAATTATATTACTTTAAATGCTGGAACAAATAATCAAAGAAACTATTTATAAGGATGTAGAAGATAAGGAGAGATGAGTAACAGCCAGCGTGGATTTTTCAAGAACAAATTGTGTCACACCAATACAATTTCCTTCCCCCACAGGATAATAGACCTTGCAGACATGGAAGAAGCAGTAGATGTGATATATCTTGAGCACAGTGAGTTTTCTGACACTGTCTCATATAACATTCTGATAAATAAGAGAAAAAAAATGTGGACTGGAGGAAACCTACTAGAAAGTGAGTGCAAAACAGATTAGAAAACCATTTTTAAGAGAATAATTATTCATGGTTCACTGTCAAAGGCTGCATCAAGTGGGTTCCACAGAGCTCTCTCTTGGCCTGGTACCATTCATTGTGAATGAACCAGAAGGGATTGTGGCTATCAAATTGCACATTGTCTGCTCCAGGAAAGGACTAGTGTTCCAGAACTGGAAAAATAGGATGCAAATCAAGCAACACAACCATTATATTATACAAATACCCAGCAGCAGAAGTTAAGAATAATTGGTTTGGTACTACAGCTTTCTAGGTTTACATCTAGTCAGAAGATAAACATGAAAACTGAAGAATAATTTTTTTTCCCTTTAGTCAACATGTGTAAACCCTCACGTCATTTCATCCAGCTAAGGTTTTGGCCACTTAACTTTAAGGAACATGTAGGCTAATGAGGTCCAAATATGAGCAACAAAAACAATGAAAAATCTGGCAACTGGCAGAAAGAGCTGGCCCTGGATAATCTCGATAGAAAAAGATTAATGCAAAACACAGCGGTAGTTTTTGTAAGTGATCTTTGTAAAGAGTCTCTTCCCTGTGGCCACAGTGAAGAGAACAAGAAACAAATGGTTTATAATTTAGGAAGAGTTTCATTTCAGACATTCAGGAAAAAAATCCAGTATTACAATGGAATAGGTTCCTTGGGGATGCTGTGGAGTCTCCTCCACTGAGAGAACATCCACATACAACGTGGTGTTGTTCTAGAGTAGGGAATGGACTAGATGACCTGTAGAGATTTCCTTCAAATCCACTTTTGTATAATCACATGAATTCTATGAATACCACAATCTAGTCATGTTTAATAAATTAAACTGTAAGTAAGGAAAAGAATCTCCTAAACCTTGAACTAGGTCTGAAAACATTTAAATGTAGTAATAGGCTATAAATTTACTTTCACTCCCTAAGGAGATTTTATTGCCACAAAGACTAACATACCAGAAGCCTCTTCTAATAGTTAAGTAACTACAAGACACTGACAGGTTTTTTTATTCATATTCTGGAAGAAGGAGTTCATAGAAAAAATTTGGTTGCATGAGAAATACAGGTTAGGTCAGTCTTCTGAGTTCTATGTGTCTTCAAAATGTTTCTAAATCCTCATATGTCTTAAAAAATCATTTAAATACATATGACAAGAATGAAGGCAGAGATGATGCAGAAAAGTTGTGTGTGACTTCATCAGCTATTCAGAGAGCAACACAAACTGTGCCCATTTTCTGTGTCAGACATCCATATTTTATGTAGAGCAGAAAGTACTTTATCTATAAGTTGATGGAAGGGACCCTGAGAGATTTCCTTTCTATACCATGAGTACAACAGAGAGAAAGAAAAACTTTCTAATTAAAATCTTCCTAAGAAAGAGTGGTTTCAAGGAAAAGAATAATTATTGCTGTAAAATGTCATACCAGTAAAGCAATCCAAGTTATCAACTAGGGTTTTAATTTTCTTTTTGCATCACCAAGCAGATTCCATAATACATTTTCATATAAATGCCTAGGTTTCATTCCTTCTCACTTGGGTTCACTGCTGTGTTTTAGGGGAATGAGTCCTCCTGCTCATTTTGATGAGCAAAACCTGGTGGAGGGAAATAAAAGCCACCAACTACTTTCTGTCTGGAGTGAAACTAAGTAATTCACTCTATGAGTTTGAGCTTAGGAGAAAATAAGGTCTGAATGAAGAGCCTTTGTCAAAGTCTGTACCCCAGCAGTTCATGGGGTTCACACAAGCCACATTTGTTCAGAGCAGTCCCAAGGGGACAATGCAAGCCCTGTTTTACTACCATAGGGTATAAAGTGGTATCAAGTAATGAATCCAAATATTTCCCTTCTGAACTCAGACCAAAGCACTTTAAAAGTTTTCTAATATAAAATAATATACCATGAAGTGGAAATCTTTCTGATATTTTGTCATTTTAAGCTGTGGTAATATATTTTCCCTGGGAAAATATAACTCTGCACTCATTGTGTGCTTTTTTGTTTTCTGTTTAATCTGTGATGCATATCTGAATGGAATTTTTGCCTGTAATTCTATAAAATTTACTCTGAACCACTGCTTATGCTCTGCTGATCACAACTCTGGTTTAAGGATTGGTTCTTATTTTTCAATCTTCTCTTCACTGCCCTTTTGCTCTATTAGAATATGAGGAGTAAAAGGGAAATATTTTGCACATTTAACACTTTGTTTCCCATGGACTATGGGATCTTGTTATCTTACATGGGCAAACAGGAAATCATACTGCTGGAATGACAGATTTAATAAACCTAATGGATAGAAAGAGGTTCATGGATTGATATTTTTGCTCTTTAAAGTTTTTTAGAGTTATCTGCTATGTTTCAGATGTGACAGTTACAGCAAAAAAAGAACAAGGACAAGGGGTAAGGGTTTTAAACTAAAAGAGGGCAGGTTTAGATTACATATTAGATAGAATTTCTTTACTGTGATGGTGATGAAACACTGGAACAGGTTGCCCAGAGAAGCTGTGGGTGCTCCATCTCTGGAAGAATTCAAGGCAGGTTGGATGGGGCCCTGAGCACTTCGTTTGGTGGAAGGTGTCCCTGCCCATGGCAGGGATGTTGGAATTAGATGATCTTTAAGGTCCCTTCCAACCCAAGTCATTCTGTGAATTTGGGAAGAAGGAGGCTTGATCCTCAGCCAGTGTACATTTATATAACTGTGAAATCCTGAGTCATGGTTTACATACCTTTATGTCAGGCCAGACTTGATCATGTCTCTAGACCATAACCTTTGGCTATTGCACTCCACCAGTCACTGATTCTAATGAGTGTTTAAAAATTAGACTGATTGAAGAAGCCTCATGTTATTTAATTCAGCTTCTTCAGGAAACAGCTTCACTTGTTTTCAGCCCAAATCAAGTCTGAATATATTTCCAAAAGTGATTTTAAAGCAAAAAGTATGGCAATTGCACAAAGGCTAAACTGGGCTCTGCACCTAGAATTACTTAGCATCTTCCCAGATGCAGAAGTATATTGTAAAATCAGCTGCTAAGAAGATGGTGTTCCTTGTCTAAGTTTACAGTCAGTTGGAGCTACCCCTATTCGGATATGTTAAAAGCTCAAAAATCATAGGGAAAGTCCATGTTTCATCCATGCTTGAATAAGACAGAGGTGGAGAAGCGCTGTTTAAAGGATGTCACAGGAGAGGTGACTGGACTTGTAGCTCCTCTGTGTCTAACAACATAGACCCTACACAGGCTGCAGTCCTTGCAAGGTGAAGGAAACAAAGTGCATGAGGTAAAAAATTGATGAGGAAAGCAATGTCAGAAAGAGGTGTGAGCTCTAAGCAGGACATTCAGTGGTCTGAGTTAATGCCTGGGAGCTGCTCTCTACATGGGACAAGAGCAAACCAGATGTCTGAAGTACCCTGCCAGGAGCAAACCAGGAATATCTGGAGTCCCTCTGCCTTTGAAGTAAACATGACTTTAAACATGAATACATAAAACAGAGCACAGCTATTTGTAGGAAATCAAAAGTAAATGAAACAGGATGAGCTTCCATGAAATAGCATGAAAACAAAGAAGACAAAGCAAACAAACAGGAATGTAAGTAAAGCACAGTCAGTATTTGTAATACAGTCATTAACCATGCTTTGTGCTTCTGAATGCCCTTTATTAGCTAGCCTTAGAGTCTGCAAACATTAAGGATTTGTCTACAGAGAGGTTGTGGTAGTAGATGATTTATTTATTGTGCTGTCACTTTTGTCTCTGCTTATACTTCTGCAGTGTCAAGTCAGTTTACTCTATGGATGCAGTGTGCTGTGGCGTGTGTGTACAGATGTGGAATCAAACCAGGACTGTTCCAGAGCAGGCTCATTCATAAGCAAATGTGCTCTGTCTGCACAGCTCACACAAGGAACCCCCACAGCCAGCACTGACACCGTGCACACCCCACGGACCCAGCAAGGACAAATCCCAGGGGCTCATCACCACCAGCACCAACTCCTGCTCCAGCCAGGTGTCCATCAGGACCATTCCTCACTGCACCCACTGAGCTGCATGGGGAAACAGGGAAGAACTGCCTAAAACCCTTCCAGTGGAAGTCTTTGGGTCTTTTGAAAACTCTGTGCTTGGTGCCTGACATCGTGGCTTTGATACGGTTGGCATTCAGACCTGGGGAGTTTTCCTAGCTTTTACTTTCTCATTTTTATAGAAAGATATTATTTAATAACAGCTGAGCATTAGGTGTTACCACAGGGATTAGTTGTACACAGCAGTGATCTAGAAAATAACATTTTCTAGCGATACAAAAAAAAAAAAATCCCTCTTCTTTTGTGTTGACTTTTTTTTCTCCTTTAGTGATGAGCTTAATGTCTGTGAGAAGTGCTTGGAAGTCCTGTCTTCTTAAAACACAGATGGAAGAAATTAAGTGTTGCTGTAGTGGTACAGTCAATACCAACATGTTGCAAAAGCCTTGTCACTTTACATTACACACCCTGATGAGACACAGGCTGAGAGATCTGTGTCTGAATGGTTTCATGGTGGTAGGAGGGTCACACATGAAAGTAGCCCCTTTCCCTGCAAGGCAGCTTGTTCTCCCAGGAGATAATCAGGATTTTCTTCCTGAAACAGTTAGTGGATCTCTGTGCTTTAACAGCCTCTCACACACAGGAAAGGCCAGGGACACATTCTTTAGATGTGATTGCTTCGAGAGCTCAGAAAAATTGTGGGGACTAGAACGGGCATATGGGATCCAGTACTTTGATGTTTCCATTCTGCTACTACCTCTATATTTGTGCTTTCTCTCCGAAACTGATGGATTCATTATGCTGCAACACCTGCTTTAGGCATTTTGCAGAGGCCATGGCAGAAAATGTACATATATTACATTGTCACTGAACTAAGTGAGCTGCACTTACTGCTTCCTTCCCACACAGGGAAAGATGACAGACCTGTTTTCCCCAGCACGTTTCTTACACAGAGATGGTGCTTTGTTAATAAGCCAAGCCCAGTATTTTAACAACTGTGAGGTGAAGGGTTGAAGCAGTAATATGCCTTAAGGTCATGTGGCACACGGTCATATTTTAATTACCACTGCCTGAGGCTATCTCCACAGGTATGTTTCCTTCCTGCATAAAACATGAACCTGGGAGTGATTTCAAAACACACTGTCAAATAGTCTGTGACTCCAACAGGATGTACACCATATCAGACTTTAATCCAAGGGCAAATTTTATTTTTGTGTTTTATCTTGAAGGCTCAGAGAGGTGAGAGAAAGAAACACTTTTCTATTGGTAAACTAATAATGTTTAGTAACACAAGATGTATCATATGTTCTAGAGATCTTTCATTTCCTTAATAAATACCAAGCACAGCAAGCTCTCAACACCAATATCCTTTCAATAAAAGGTAACCTTATATGGTCACTACATGATACATGATTTATAAGATGTCATGTTAAAGTAAACTCAAACTCACCAAACACACTAAGGAAAGGAAATGGTTGTCTGGCTCCATATGGTGTTTTCATGTTTCTATTAAAACCAGACTATTCAAACACTGTGGATACCAGCACAGATTTTAGCTCTAAAGGAAGGATAAAGAGAGTCTTATCCATACCATCTGTATCAATAGCATAAAAATTGCTGGCAACACATGAATGTGGTTAAAACACTTAGGGTCATCTTACTGTTGGGGATTAAAAGGCATTGCTCCCACAGAATGGTTTGCTCAAAGAGCCATCATGAAAGTGAATAACTGAAACCCTTTGCTAGCCAAATACCACGGAAAAAAAGAAGAGGGATAGTTGAGCTGGAAAGACCACTTCTTTTGGTACAACCACCTTTAAAGTAGGATGTAGCATTGCAGAACTTGAAACCTAAACTTCACTATAGTACTTGAAACTTAAATCCAAGCTCCAGATTTTTGTCCAGTCATACTATTCTGACTGAAGATCTTATACTGCCTCTGCAAACATCTTCAATTTACAAGTTTATCCTGCGCCTTAAATTAATTAAAAGTTCCTAATTTATTATGGACGAACATAAAAAGAAATCTAGGACACTGAAATAATTTTTCACCAGCAGTTCCCCACTCTGCCTCCCAGGTGGATCCTAGAAAGCACACTCCCACAACAGGCTGCTCCAAGGAATCCCAAACTCAGCCACTCAGGCTCCACCCAAACATCAGCAAAGAAACCTGATGTAAACAGAAGGTACCTGAATTATAATTTTCCTTCCCTACAGAGGGCAACCCTTCACCACTTCAGTGAGCAAGGGGCTACCACACATCTCGGTTCAGGCCCAGGAACACACTGCATCCCCTCAGCATAATGAAATCAAAGAGAGGAACAGATTTCAATGCATGTCACAGCAGGTCAGTGCACTCGCTCAGTAGTGTGCTGCACAATGCTCACATAGTTGCTTTTTAAGTTATTTTTAAATCCACTGCCAGACCATGCTGCTGTAAAGCCCAGCTGATCTGAGAACCTGCAATAAATTCAGTGATGTAGAAGACCTCACAGATTTTGCAGGGGGGGCAACATCCCCCACATTTGCAAGATGCTCTTTTCACTCCACCTTACCTACTTAATTACCTTAATGCTTTGAAGCATTTCACTCTGCTCGGATATTAATGTATTTACCACGTACTTTTGACTCCACAAGAGTTTTGGTTCATTCACTTCTATGGTCATTTTATTTCTCCTTTATTAACACAAGTGTCTTCAAGAAGTTGTGCTAATGAGAATGGCAAAGACACAGAAAACACTCTTAATTCTTTGAACCTCACTCACATCATATTACAAGGCTAATAGTGTCACTACTCCAATTTGTATTACAACCTCTAGAGCTAGTAGTACTTAATGACTTAAATACCTCTTCTCTCCCTCTGTTAAAAACTATGGCACACAGCAGCTTTCCTTTGAGTTGTAAACACCATCCATGGGTCTTGTGTATAATGGTACAAATGTTTCCATTTAACTCTTTATGTACAGGACCCAATCCCTGCTCAGTCAGAGCTACCAGTGGGGCCCAGGGGGCAAAAAACATCTCCTTTATCATTCTCCTCTACAGGACACAGGCATGAGAGCTGAGTGTATACATGAGGAACTGAGGAACATCTTCCTGACTGCAGCAGGCACAGTGCTCCCAGCTGCTTTCTTATCAACTTGAGGAACTTCCATCTAGCTTTTCAACTCCTACAAATTTCCTGGGCTGTAATTTTGGGGTTGCATCTGGAAAGCCACTAGGAAAGATGAGGTCCTTCATTTTCCTGATGGTGATTTATGTAAAAGGATGTACCAGGAAGGAGGGCACACGCTGGCTCAATTGCCAGGACAATTTCTCAGTTAATTACTGTGACAATGGTGAGGCACTGCCATGGATTGCCCAGAGAAGCTGTGGATGCCCTATCCTTGGAGGTGTTTGAGGGAAGGTAGAATGAAGATTTCAGCAACCTGGTTTGGTGAAAGGTGTCCCATGGCAGCAGGGATTGGAACTAGATGATCATTGAGATGCATTCCAACCCAAACCATTAGCTTTTCCATGGGCTGACTAACAAGCACTGGTATTTCAGGAGAGCTTTTTCTTCCCAGGATATTGGTTATGGCTATTAGCTGCTTTGGAATGGTTTTGACTATGGGGTGTTCATGCAAGACTACTCGGGGCAGGGGAGTTTCTTGCAAACACAAGTTGTCTAAGTGAGACAACAAAAATTTCTACTTGCTGCTGACATGGGCCCCTTTATCATTTGCTCATGACTGAAACTGAGTGCACTGTGAGCTTCACTTGCATCTGTGCTCACCCATCCAAGATTTAAGTTACACTAATACATTTCAGCACAAATTAACATGTTCATCTGAACTTCAGGCCAATTTCATTGTAATGACACAGAAATAAAGTGACTGAAGCATCTGCCAACAGTCTCAAACAGGGCAACAGTATGCAGAAGCATTTGAAAGACTTTTAAAGAAGAGTATTCTTCCTTAGCTTATTATCTTGCTATTTACTATGTTGGAACCAAGATTAAAATGCTTTAGTGTTTACTGAAGCAGCATATATGGGATCTAACAGCATGTTATTTTGTGCACACTGTTTAACATTCTTTATTGCTCCAACTCATAAGGTTTATTTGAAATCAGTGGAGGAATTCATCCCATCCACCATTTACTCAGCCATTATCAGCTACTGCAAAAGTGCCATGTGGAGAATGAACACCAGTTATTTATGAGCTTTTGCAAGCATGCAAACTCCTGATAGAAAATAACATTTTTAAGATCCGTTATTATTTATGGCATCCGTGTGTCACTGTATGCAGTTGTGTTCTGTATGGAGGCTGCTCCAGAGGCAAGGTCGCTCCTGGAAAGAACAGTAGCTACCTACCTGCTTTTACTTGATTTTCAAGTTGGTTTATGCTTGATTCCAGCCTCCCTTTCTCTCTCTCTCATACCACCCCCACCCAAGCAAAAGTCCTTCTTCTTTTGCTGATAGCCACAGTGCGTGTGGAGCTGATGGAGAATGAAACTATACCTCATGTTTTGATCAAAGCTGAGTCAAATCAATGGGAAATTTTCCTTTCAGAGGGGAACACTGATGATGGAATAGTTTTCCCAAATGCCAAGAAATTTCCAACATGGAACCTCCATCAAATGGTAGGCAGACATTGGTCAGGAATCATTTAGATGGCAGGTACACAGATGTGGGAGGCCCATTCAGTGGATCATGAGCCACTTCAAGTAGGAACAGTGTTTGTTTCAATTTGAGTCACAGACCAATGCTCACCTACAGGCAATCCCTGACTGTCAGCTGAGTGAACTCCTCTGAATTCTTCAGCTAAATACAGGAGAGTGGTGTATGTTTTTCCAATATTTCCACTTATGCCACATCTTTTGTTTATGTTTGATGCATTAATACAATGTATGTTCTCCTTCTCCCCTTTTGTGAAATTATTCCTGGTCTTGCTACTCATCTGGAGATAGGGGTGCATGTAATAACTAGTGATTGCTTCAGATGAGCAATTGCATTGGAAATGTTTAGTGCAGCTTCATGTTTCAACTTCCCAGAACCTGGGTGACACCTTTTCTGGAATACATGGTTTG